AGGCTGTAACATCCAACCTCACTTTCAAATATGTGATTCAAGGCCATTGGAAGTTAAGGTACATTCATGTTTTTCTTGTTTTGTTTAGAGACTTATGTAAGGAGTTATACATATATTTCATTTGTTTGCTGTGAGAAAAAAATCTAATTATGTAAGGTTTTCAAAGTAACAATAAAAAAAGAGAACCACTCTGAATCTCTCCTAGAAAGAAGCGTGGCTGCCATTTTGGGGTTGACCCAGCCCACCTTTTCCATATACATATCAGACTTGAAAAAGGCAAGACTCTGCATTTCAATCAGTCTTTAGAGCATGATTGACATACTTTATTCAGGAAAAATGTCACAGGCTAAATCTATAATTTTGTTAATAAGCTGATCAGTTAGCGGAAGAAGACATAGGAAAAATGGAGAAAAAAGTGGGGAGAGAATGAAGAGGAAATGTCAGAAAAGGCATAAAACGTCAGAAAAAAGGAGACTGAATGCAAAGGGGTGTGGGGAGAGAAGGGGGCAGTCGCCTCGTGTCTGTGGTCCAGGGGTCGTGCGTTCGCTTTGTCCAGAAACAGCCCATCAGCTGACCCCCAGGAGCCTCTGCGCTGATGCCGCGGTCGCTCGTTTTGGTGGCTTTGCGTGGGGTGTGTGTGTGTGTGTGTGTGTGTGTGTGTGTGTGATGCACTAGGGGAGAGGCTGGGCCGTGAGGCGAGTGGAACCAGGGGTGTGTGTTTGTATGTGTGTGTGTGATTGTGTGTGTGATGCACGAGGGGAGAGGCTGGGCCGTGAGGCGCACCGGAGCGCAGACTCCCTCCCGAGAGGGTGACTGGAGACCAGCTTCTGCCCCCGACCTGTGATGCGGGCCCTGCCCACCCCCAGCTCAAAGCTGGGGGTCTCCTTCCCATTGGGACTCATCTGAATCTCCGTGCCTCCAGCGCGTTGTTTCTTCCTCTGGAAGCTGGCGCGCTCGCTTCTCTGCACCCAGAACCGGAGCTGGCTGACCCGCCGGCGGTGTGTGTGGACAGAGGCGGGGCCGCGGCAGCAGGGCTGTGGGCGTGTGCAAGCCCAGCTCGCGAGCGCGGAGCTCTGACCCCGGTGCCGCGGGAGGGGCGTGCCTTCTCTTCGCCTCCGTCGCCCGCATCTGCGCTCGCGCACGTGCGTGGACGCGCGGGTTTGACGCATTCGCACAGCGTGTTCCGTGTCCCCTAAACTGGCGTGGGGATGCTACAGTGAGGGGCCGACATGCTGGCTCTACACCACAAATGATGTCCTGCCTTCACGTCCTGCTCTCTGGTTAGCACGGCTCTGACACGCTCGTTCCCAGGTCAGAGCATCTCAGTGGGGTCTGCGGTCATCCCCGTCTTTCGACTGGGGAGCAGTGTCTGAAAGGCGGGGCCCTGAGAATGATCCTGTCTCCATACCCCAGGGCAGGGCTGTCCCTGCCCGCCCTGTCCCCTGATATTCCAGGGATGTCCAGGGATGTCTCCTGATATCGCAAAGACCAAGACAAAAGTCAGCCCTGGCTGCCAAGAGATGAGAGCACCCATGGCTCTGGAGGTTTCCTGAAACCCCCAGGGTAGGGCCGCCCTGTCCCGTGCACTCCACGTGGAACCATGAGTATGCGCTGTGGCTGCGATGCCTGTATTTGCAAGAAGCCCTGCGTCACAAGCCAGTCTGCAAGTCTGCTTTAACATGGAGATCTGATGCAGTGATTCAAGCCCCGAGCCTTCACCTGTGTGCTGGGCATGATTCCTGCCCCAGGCTCTGATATTCTCTGAAGATGTTAAGCTCCCAGCTTCTCCAGGTATGAGAGAGGGGTCCCCACAAGTAAAAGTGACCATCTCGCTCCTGTGACCCAGCACACTGATTTCAAAAACTTAGTCAACAGTCATCTGCAAACACTGTTTCGGAGAATAAATATTTGCTGAAGCTGATACCTGCTACAGGTAAACGTGGAACTCCACTTTTGTGCGCCCCTGATGCCACCTCTTCTGTATGAAGGAGTCGCTGTCTCCCCCTGAGCCTGGCAACCACACTTTGCATGTTGGGAAGTTGAAGTCCAGAGGCACAGGGCAGCTTCATCCCTATCAGATCTTGGCCTTGATTAACATTTGGCCCTTTAAGACAAGCACAGCAAATTAGATTTTCCCTGGATTCCACAGTCAGGAGAAAAACCTGGGACCCGGTGATCTAATGAATAGCTTGACTAAGAACCCTAAGGCCTGTCTCCTTCAGCACGCAATGCCCTGTCTTTTATTATAATAGCATGCTTTTGGTCAGGAGGACCTGGAACATGAAAACAAAAGGCTGTGGATGCTTGCCTCTACACCCTGACCTTTCAACATGCAGCTGTCGAGATGGGGTGACCTCTCTGAGCTCTGTCCAGAATTCAGGCTTCTCCAGGACACCCTAACTGAGTGAGATGGGACCCAGCTTTAAAAATCACCATGGTCCCTTCCGGAGCCCACCCACGTGACACCTAGAAACGGCTTCCGCTCGTGGGCTCTCCCCCTCTTTGGGGGAAGGGCTCTCCGTCCGTCCACGTGCACGCAAGTCACCTCCCGGTGACTGCGCTCAGCACAGGCACCTCCAGCCTCCCATCCCCCTGGCCTTCTGCGGACGTCTAGAACACAGGAGTCATTAAGAGAGAGTTTAGAGAGACTTCCTCGGTGCTCCAGCAGTTACAGCTCCACACTCCCAATGCAGAGACCCAGATTCCACCCCTGGCCAGGGAACGAGATCCCTCATGCCACAACTAAAGGTCCTGCGTGCCACAGCAAAGACCTGCAGATCCAAGAAAAAAAAAAACAAACAGCAGCAACAACAGCAACAAAACGAACTGAGCCTGGTAACCGAGAAGAGAAAAGAGTGAAGTGAAATCTTAAAAAATAAGAGTGTGATCAAATGGGGCATCACAGTAACAATTTAAAGCACTTACCAGAATTGCTTTGTGTTAGGAAAGAAAGCGATGCTTGAGGGACTGGGTTGCAGGGTTGTATTCCTTACTATGCTCTCTGTGCAAACTGCCAGAAGTGTCATGGGAGGGAAGTTATTGGTACTGACTGTGAACTTTGACAGTGTGGATCACAGCAAACTGTGGAAAACTCTTCAAGAGATGGGAATACCAGACCACCTGACCTGCCTCCTGAGAAATCTGTGTGCAGGTCAGGAAGCAGCAGTTAGAACTGGACATGGAACAACAGACTGGTTCCAAATAGGAAAATGAGTACGTCAAGGCTGTATATTGTCACCCTGCTTATTTAACTTATATGCAGAGTACATCATGAGAAACGCTGGGCTGGAGGAAGCACAAGCTGGAATCAAGATTGCCGGGAGAAATATTAATAACCTCAGATATGCAGATAACATCACCCTTATGGCAGAAAGTGAAGAAGAACTAAAGAGCCTCTTGATGAAAGTGAAAGAGGAGAGTGAAAAAGTTGGCTTAAAGCTCAACATTCAGAAAACTAAGATCATGGCATCTGGTCCCATCACTTCATGGCAAATAGATGGGGGAAACACTGGAAACGTGGCAGACTTTATTTTGGGGGCTCCAAAAATCACTGCAGATGGTGATTGCAGCCATGAAATTAAAATATGCTTATTCATTGGAAGAAAAGCTATGACCAACCTAGACAGCATATTAAAAAGCAGAAACTTTGCCAACAAAGGTCTGTCTAGTCAAAGCTATGGTTTTCCAGTAGTCGTGTATGGATGTAAGAGTTGGACTCAGAAAGTTGAGTGCCAAAGAATTGATGCTTTTGAACTGTGGTGTTGGAGAAGACTCTTGAGAGTCCCTTGGACTGCAAGGAGATCCAATCAGTCAATCCTAAAGGAGATCAGCCCAGAATATTCATTGGAAGGACTGATGCTGAAGCTGAAATTCCAATCCTTGGGCTACCTGAGGCAAAGAACTGACTCATTTGAAAAGACCCTGATGCTGGGAAAGATTGAAGTCAGGAGGAGAAGAGGATGACAGAGGATGAGATGGTTGGATGGCATCACCAACTCAGTGGACATGAGTTTGAGCAAGCTCTGGGAGTTGGTGAGGGACAGGGAAGCCTGGCTTGCCACAGTCCATGGGGTCACAAAGAGTCAGATACGACTGAGCGACTGAACTGAACTGAACCCTGAAGCTCTGGTCTTATCCTGGCTCAGCTGTGATGAGCTATTTGGGACAGATGGCATCACCCACAGCAGGTTCTGGATGGTTCCCACGCGTGGTGATTACTGGTTGGGTAAAGAATCCACCTGCCAATGCAGGAGACCCAGTTTGGATCCCTGGGTCAGAAAGATCCCCTGGAGAAGGAAATGACCACCCACTCCAGGATTCTTGCCTGGGAAATCCCATGGACAGAGGAGCCTGATGGGTTACAGTCCATGGGGTCACAAAGAGTTGGACAGGATACGACTGAGCACGCATGCATGATGGGAATAACCCAAGGCTGGGAGGAAGAGGAAAAGAAGCAGGAAGGGGTTGGGGCAGGGCAGGCAGGATGGGACGCAGGAAACGAGGGATGAACAGTTCCTTCTGGAAGCCCCTGCCGTCACAGACAGGAACGCCGAGGAGCCTTCAGCAGTTACAGGAGACGATGGGACAGTTTGGAATCCGCCGCAGTGGTGAAAGGGCTGTGGGTCACCTGCGGATTCTCAGGTTCCTTGAAGGATGTGGAGAAGCACAAGAATGCACTGGGCCAGTTTGCCTCACAGGTTCAGACGCAAGGCAAGCAGAGCGAATGGTCTTTCCCTGCAGAAAAGAGCATCCGCCCCTCTCCTAGGAGCAGAGAAGCCCGTGCACAGCCGTGCCCACTCACTTCTCTCAGGACCAGGCTGTGCGGTGGGGGCTGGTGGCACACCGTGAAGCGGAAGTCAGCTGGACAAAGTGAGCTCACCATCCCCTCGTGGAAACGAGCCTGTTAAGGGAGGTTTCTGTGTTGCCAAGGCTGTGAGGGGCTTCAGTGGGTGGACGGGGCCTGGGAGGGGCTGCACCCTGAGCCCCTGCCCCCTCCCCAGGCGGAATCAGGCTCCCAAGGGGCCCGAGGAGCGAGGAAACGAGCGTCTGTGGGAATGCTGGTCACGAGGCACGTCAGGAAGGGGACGGGAGTCCAGAGACCCAGGACGAGGGTGGCATCGGCCAGCTGGGAAACGTACCTCTGAGGGGAAGGCGTTTGCCCACAAACCCACCATGAAAGGACGAGAAATCCATGGGTCCTGGCGGCCGCTTTGGGGGGCAGACCAGCTGGAGCAGGTGGGGTCCAGTCCCAGGACCGCAGACACAGGAGACCCAGCATCGGGATGAGAAGGGCATCCAGACAGCAGGGTCAGTCGGTGGGAATGAGACGCGTCCTGAATGTGCATTTTCCTTCCACATACAGACAACAAAACAAAGCCTGCTCTAAAGCACCGTGGAGATTATACACTGGAGTCTCCCAAGCTCCCAAGGCCCCTGATTCCATGTCTCTCGCCAAGATCTCAACCTTGGAGGAGACACCGTGACTCAGGCCAGGGAATCCTTAGCTCTTTTGGGGTCCTTGCTCCTCAGAATCCGCCAACCTGAGGTCCTGGAGTTCCGGGTGAAGCGGACCCTCTGGGGACGAGGTGCCTGAGGCTTTGAGGATAGGGTGGACCAGGGTTGTGGCTCAGGCAACTGAAGCGCCATGCCGCACGGCCTCTCCCCGTATCTCCAATCCATCCATCTGAAGCACTAATGCACAGCAGATGTACATGTTATAGACCCAAAGGCCATCTGGAAAGCTTCTCAAGGTTTGCCCCCTTGAGAACGTGTTGTCCTGGGTCCCTGCAGGGCTGCGGGAGCTCGATGTCCAGCACCCCTCAAGCTCTTCTCCTTCTGGAGGCTGCAGACTAGGGTCGCGACCCCTCCCCTGACCGATGATCCTCAGAGCAGGAAAGCCAAGATGAGTGTGAAATTGTAAGCTCATCCACCGCCATTATTTTTAATTGAAATGATCTAGGAAACAGCAACATGTATGAATTGTTCTCATTCCTTAGGATGTGCTTAATTCCAATTTGCAGTGAGTAGAATGATGTGAGCTCATGAAAGTGACAGATATGCCCTTGCATCTCACAAATCTAGCTTCCTGACCTGATAAATATAAGCAAGCTGCCATTTAACACGTAGGGAGTAGGCTTCCTTGGCAGATTGATTTCACATTTTATTGTATAAAACACGCATGGGCTTATGTGAGGCTCAGAAGCCTGGTTATGAGATTGGTGCATGTGTGTATCCACCGTTATCACAGCCTCGCGCAAAAGAAGAGGAGCAAAATATAGCACAAGTATTTGTGAGCAGTAGCGGTTCCTCCTATCTTTCTGGCTATCATTTAATACAACGAAATGCTAAATTACTGACATGCTAAAGCAATATAAGAATCTGGACCCCTCTTTGCAGCCCACTATGGATTTTTTTCTATTCAACAGTTGTTAGTAAAATTAACTTCTAACTACCCAGCACCAGAAGTCATCTGTGTGCCATCTTTTGACGTCACGTGAGGCAAGTGGGAGCTGTGACTCTGAGGTGTTCATCCTGTTGTGTGCACCAAAGGCTCCCACTTTTCCTCCCTTCTTATATGCCGCGTGCACACCACTAGTCACAGAGGCCAGTGGGCATCCAGCTCAAGGCCAGTGTGCACGAGACGTGCAGACACTGCCCGGAGCCTCGAGGCTGAGGGAATGCCCATGAAGGCAACACGGTGCAGTGATTCCTAAGGTGACAACTCCGTGGGAGTCACAAAGTTCCCAGGTGCTGTCTTTACAATCCCCAAAAGCAAGTCAGGACACTGTTTCTGCAACTATTCCTGTCCTGGGGCCTGGGCCAGTTTCTTTGTCTGCCTCCTTCTGGGACTTGTACCTGCTTTTGACTTGGTCATGAGTGCTGGGGCCGCTCTTGTGCCCAGCATAACCCCCACCTTGGCCAGCTTAACTCTTTGGTGCAAGAAAAGAAAAAGACTGCACAGCTCCATGTCAATGTCTGACCCCCTTTTGCCACTCTTTTTAACATGGGCTTCAATTTAATTAAGTACAAAACCAACATCTTCCAGTGAAAAGAACACAGAGCTGGAATTAAAATTTAGTCCAAACACTGTTACGAGCTCATTAAATGACCTTGAGAAAGCTCAACTCTGTAAAATAATTTCTCTGACATTTCCAAGACATGAAATGTGAGGGCTTTTCAAATAATTGTTCATTCATTCATTCAAAAACTGCTTATTGAGCACCTAGTACATTTGGGGAATGAATAAGTGCTATTTAGTGAATGTGAATGCAAGCCAGGCACTAAGCCAAGTGCTGTATAAACATTATCCATCCCAATCAACACAGTGATTCTGCTATTCCATTTCACAGAGGCACTCTGAAGGGCCCAAGGTAGAAAAAAATACAGCTTAGGAGGAAATACGGGTCAAGAGGCTGTACAGATAGAGTAAAGGAGAAAGGAGAAGACAGCCCTGGAGAACTCACCTGCAAGGTCACGGTCAGTGCGCAGCAGTGTGAGGACTCATGTCCACCTCACTGCCCTGGGTCCTGTCTCTGCCTCATCACAGAGAACCACCTTCCCGTTAAATGCACATCATCTCCCTGAAACCTCCCGAAAGGGGAGCACTGCGCCTCTTCCCTCACCCTTCTGTGGAGAAGCCTAGTAATTCACAGTCCACAGTGCATTTGGCACGGTCTTCTCTTTCCTAGGGGTATTTGCAAAATAAGCCTTTGGTGCAAGTGTGCAATGAAAATTCCCTCCATTGTTAAGTGGACGTGTGGCATCAGTTTTCGGGTATTCCTGGTTCATACAGAGCGTGTGCAAACCTCTGAAAAGAATCACTAGAACCAGGTGCTTCTCCCAGTTACTTTTAAGATCAAACCAAACCAGAAGGTAAAAGACAAAACAAAAACAAAAGACTAAATGTGAGACTAACGGGTGATCAGAGGAGGTGAACAGAAATATGATTGTGTGGATCCTCGAATCGGTTATCACTGTTTGTTTTTGTTTTTATTTGTATTGTTTTTCCCTAATGAGCTTTGAACATCTTGGATGAGTCAGTCAATTTATATATGTTTAAAAGTAGTCAGTTGAAGACAGAGATTAAGAGAAATAGGTGACAGACAGGTAGATGATTGGTAGACAGGAATAGAGCGGTGATGGGCTTCCCAGGTGGCTCAGTGGTAAAGAATACACCTGCCAATGCAGGAGACGCAAAAGACGCAGTTTCAATCTCTGGGTCGGGAAGATGCCCTGGAGGACAAAATGGCAACTCATTCCGGAAATCCCACAGACAGAGGAGCTTGGTGGGCTGCAGTCCAAGGGGCCACAAAGAGTCAGACACGACAGAGCGACTGAGCACACACACACACACACAGGGCGATGATGGAGACAGAGACACAGATGCTGAGACAGAGAAACAGGCGTTAGGGAGTCAGAGAGATGCGGCGGGTGTGTAGATGACACAGGAGAAGGGGACGGATGCAGGCGCACAGAGGAGACCGTCTCCCTCCGCTGCTGCCCCGTGAGGAGCATCGCTCTCCTGCTTCACTTGCCCTGTTAATGTATTTCTCTCTGTGCCGTTCACTAGCCCGGAACCTCCCAAGGTGGGAGAAGGGAATGGCTCCGTGCCCCCCGGAAGGGGTGGAGCCTCACTTTCCTCTTTGATGCCCTGGAGAAGTGCCTTTGCTGTGTCCTTGCATCAGGAGAGAGTTGGATAATTCCCTTCATAGACCAGTAGGGGCACAGCCCTTGGGCTTGACCTGTGAGTGAAAGGCCACTTAATCATAAAGCTCGTGAAACGTGGCACCTCTCAGGGCATGTGTGCGTGCTAAGTCTCTTCAGTCGTGTGCAACTCTTCGCGACCCCGTGGACCAAGCCCGCTAGGCTCCTCTGTCCATGGGATTCTCCGGGCGCGAATACTGGAGTGGGTAGCCGGGCCCTTCCCCCAGGGGATCTTCCCGTCCCAGGAATCGAACCCACATCTCTTGCACCTCCTGCATTGGGAGGTGGGTCCTTGACCACTGGCGCCACCTGGGAAGCCCTGGGGGCTCAGGCGTCTAGTTTCTCGCTGTGAGGATGCACAGAGCTCTCTCAGGAGCGTTTCTGCGGATGCTGTCCTCTGCCCCTGGGCCATAGCAATGAGCAGACAGCTGAGGACCCTTGGGTAGCGAGCGGCCTCCATGCGAGACGGAGCCAAGGCGGCGTCGGGCTGTCAGCCCGGCTGCCCTGCGCCCCCGCGACCCCGTGACCAGCTGCGCCATTGGGAGGGAGTTTCCACACTCAGTATCCAGGCTGGGGGCCGGCTTCCTCTGTCACTTGTGTCCTCCCAAGCACTGGGCTCGCGGGTGGAGATGGACGCGGCTCGGGGAACTTTCCAGTGTTACCAGCACAGCGCAGTGAGAGAGACCCATAAATAGTCACGTAGGAGACGTCTGTGTTGCACATGGAGTGGAGGCGCGCAGCTCTGAAGTCAGCCTGTCAATTAACTCCCAGGGAAGGAGAAACACAGATTACTTAGTGTGCGGGATACTGAATTACCTTCCGGAATCAGGGCTGGACATTCAGTCCCTGCCAGGCAAATAAGATTCTGTCTTCAAAATGCTCCTCTGTCCACAGAATTCTCCAGGCAAGGATACCGGAGTGGAGTTGCCATTCCCTTCTCCGGGGGGGTCTTCCAAACCCAGGGGTCAAATCCAGCTTTCCTGCACTGGCAGGCAGATTCTTTCCTGTCTGAGCCCCCAGGGAAGCTCTTCAAAGCGCTAAGAAGTGGGGAAACCTTGCTGCTGAGGGCTGAGCTCATTCAGCACCCTCCAAGCTGTCTTTCGCCATTATCACAGGCTCAGACAGCGGTCTGATTCTCCTTATCATTTCTAGAAAGACAGTGTTCAATTATAAAACAAAGTCAATCGTCTGATTTTTCAAGTTGATAAATCACCACTCACCATATAAAAGCGTCCGAAGAATCACGAGGCTCCGTCTGCTGGCGGGTCACTGTAGAACCCAAGATGGGATTTAGAGGAGGGAGTCAAAGCTATGCCAGGCAAATAAACAGTTAAAAGTGAAATAAACAATGCCGGGCATGAGTCCATGCCAAAGAACATCAAGGACTCTAAAACAAATTTTCTCCAAAGGAGTTTTTAATTCACAGGTTTGTAAGCCTGGTTTTCCTGTTTTAACTGAGATAATGCATCACATTGTCATGAAAAGACAGGGGCTCCAGATGCAGCAAGCCTGGGTCCAAATTCAGGTTCCGCTGCTCCTGAGCAGGACAAGATGAAGTCACCGGGCTTCCAGATGAGCTGAAAACGGGACTGGGGGTGCGCACATGGGAGGGCTGTGTGGCGTTTGCAGATGCTGAGGGTCAGAGCCTCAGACAGCGCCTTGCCTACACCCTTCACCACTGCGTGAATGCGCGCGGCATGGACGCCCCTTGCACCGGGGGCCTCCTGTCAAGAGCACAAAGGGCTTGCTTGCCAAGGGCCTGCCTGTGGGGGTGCAAGTTGGTGCAATCTTTTCGGTGATAAATTGGCAAACGTCAGGCAAATGTTAAATGTGAATGTCCTTTGACGTGGCGATTTCACTGTTCTGTTGACAAAAATCTATTTCATGGAAACACCTTCACAAAACCCAAGGAAACATGGCTAAAGATGTTTGTTGTGCTACACGTATCATAATAAAACCACGGAAACCACTGCTGTGTTCGCATGGAGGACAGAGGATGACTGGATATCGATCCAGATATGGAAAGGGGTGCTGTTCCTTGGGGGAAAATGAAGCAGATCTAGAAATGCAAATAAAGATTGTATATACATATATATATCAATATTTACATATAAAGAACTCAATTCAACCTTACTGAGTTGTGGGTCCTTTTGTATATAAAGCCGTGTTAAGCATGTATCTCTATTGGATACATTTCCCGTATTAGAAATAGGAACTCTGTGTCACACAGACCTGTGCGTGTGTGCGCTCCTGGTGTTACACGCACACACGCCGATGTGTTTGTGAAGGTACAGGACACCCCCCGCCACTTTCCCAGTGAGCTGCTTTCTGCAGAGGAGTGGGACTAGGCGCCTACCTGGGAGCTTCAGAAGGCTTCACGTTTCACTCTGCACCTCTGTCTATTGCTCACAGTTCATTCGCTTGCGCTTGCCCTACCGGTTTATAAGCCATGAAGTTAATACGCACAAAGACCAGCGCAGCTGCCTGTGATTTGCTCACGTGGTCGGTCCGCGTAAAGCTCTGGCATGCCTCTTTTTGTGTCCGCCGGGTAAACATTCACTCCTGACTGCTTACCTTCCAAAGAAGTGACTCAAATGACACAATATTTTGTGAATCTTAAGGCATTTTGCAGAAGATGATATGACGTATTTACAATTCATCTATGTAATATTAAGATTGAAACTTTTTTTTGCGCAAAATTACATAAATGGAGGCTATTTTAATATTTTGTGATGATAAATGTGTTCCCAGACTGTAATGTATATTCTTAGCTTAAAAGGATTCAATTTTTTTTCAACTCAAAAAGCATTTATACAAAGATTAAATATCTGTAAAGTAAGATTTAAGCAAAAAATGTCTCTAATCCCCCTTCCAGTTCTAAAATTCTTCGTGTCTGTGATTTGGGCAAGAAATCTTTTGCTAATGAACAACAGTATCAAACATGTTTGGTATCATTTAGACAAGACAACATTCATTGGATGTTACTGAGTTTCTTTTCCATTTGACTATTAAAATGTAACCCAGTGATAATTAATTCTGCCTCTAGTTAAGTCATTATTTTAAGCCTGTTGCACAACTTTTAAATATGTCACCTTTGATGATTTGGAAGTCTTAGGATAGACTTCTACATAGTTGTACTCTTAAAAATAATGTATTTTATGAAAAAAACGTGTTTTATGGAAGTATGCTTGATTTAACAAAGTTGTGTAAACTCCCGCCGTACAGCAAAGTGATTCAGTGACACATATACATCCATTCTTTTCCATCTGCTTTTCCGTTGTGGTTCATCACAGGATATTGAATAGAGTTCCCGGTGCTACAGGGCCATGCTGTTTATCCATTCTATATATAACAGTCTTCATCTGCTAGTCCCAAACCCCCAACCCACCCCTCCACCACCCTCTTCCTTAGCAGCCAGGACCCCCAGCCCACCCCTCTCCCCACACCCCGTCTTGGGAGCTGCAATTCTCTTCTCTGGCATGCATGTCTCTTAAGCCGACTATGAGGCTAAAACACCTACCGCCCTATCAGACCTGCCAGGACACACGCAGATGGCGCCCCACTCTCTCTGACGTTTAGCGCCGACGGTGCGCTTCCCGCCCTCGTCCAGAGATGGACCAGGTGTGCACCTCGACAAGGCTGGGCCCGATCCTGCGGGTTCACGATCGCGACGAGTGTGTGACACTGGGCGGCTTCATCACTGTCTCTGAGTGCCCACCTTCTCACCTCCAAGACGGAGTTAGTACTGTACACTTTCAGAGTGTCTGGAGGATTCAGTGAGCACACACATACTCAGGAAGCACAGTGCCTGATGAGTGGGCGGGGTCAGCGCACATCCACGCCCTTTCCTCGTGGGCACGGCTCCTGGCCCCATCCTGTCCTAGACCCTGGTGGGCTGCTCCGTCAGAGGCATGCCTTTGTGGGAAACCAGGGGTCCGGGTGTGGACAGTGAGGTCTGAGATGCCAGTTATGTGCTGAGCGCAGATGCCACGTGGATGGCCTGGAGTTAAGAGGCAATGGCCAGCCTGGAGCAATGCTTCTGGGAGTCAGTGGTGTAGAGATGGCATTCAGCGCCCCGAGACCAGAGGAGATGGGCCAAAAAATAGGAAGTAGAGAAGGGAAGAGGTCTGAGCACTATGCCCTGGCACCCTGAGGTCGGGGCTGAGAAAGGACCAGCACGGAAGCCTGGGACAGCACTCCTTCAGGTGGAGGGACCCCCTGGGGCCCCTGGGACTGTGATGCTTGGAAGTGAAGAGAGCGGGGTACTCCTGGGAGCAAGGAGTGACCTGCTGAGTCAGAGGCTGGTAACCAGTGAGGCCAGGGCGCCTACCATTGAGAACAGCTCTAAGACGAAGCGGGCTCTGAGTTAAAGAACACAGGATGACCTCCATTTTTATTCAACGTGGGGAGGACATCCTTCCGTGTTTTCCGGGAAGATACAAGGTGTTACAATAGGACCTGGAAGCCTACTTCCAGCTGAGTGGGTCTCTGGGCCAGCCTCGGGAGGTCACGTTGGGCAGAGCAGATGCCACTGGCTGCAGAGAGAGGCCACGCTCTGGAGGCTGGAAAGGCCCACGTGGAGCTCTGTCCGCCCTGGCCGTGGGGACGCTCACACCAGAAAGGTCCCAAGCAGGACAGACACACTGCCTGTAGGAGAGGGTGAGGACTCGGCTGGAAATGCCCGCAGCCACTGGGTGAGGCTCTGGGGATCTTCTGAGAACTCTTGAGTTGAGCACTTCAAATGGGTGCATTTTGTTGTAGGTAAGTTGTTTTTCATTAATCTTATATTTCATTATGTAATTCATATATTTTACTGCTCATGATGTATGGTGCTTAAACAGCGCTGAGAATGTGCCTGCAGCTATTCCTGATTTTCACATGTGACGGGCAGACCGACGCTCTGACAGCTACCCAAACAGTCCTCACAGATGTTACTGAGAGGTTTGTGTGTGAGAGTCCAAGCAGTTCTGGCCTCCATTTGGGGCTCTCCCTGCCCTGAGGACCCAGGGACCTGGATGACAGAGGCGCTGATAAGACAGGTGAGACGCTACAAAGAGCAGGAGTGGACCCAGTGGTCAGTCCCGCCACTCCGCACCTCGTCCTGACTGAGGGCGCGGCGGCCACAAACTCGGAGTCTAGACCCAGGCCAGTGCACGTCCAAGTCCTCCCTGCTCCTTACTCTCTGAGCGGGCATGCAGCTCCCCGCTGGTGGATGTGGCCGGTAGGACTCCCGCCTCCAGGGTTGTCCGAAGGACCCGCTAAGCCCAGACGGGGGCCCGGTGCGGAGCGGACACCACGGAAGGCTGGACCAACAGCAGAGCCTCCCTCTCGTTTTCAGACGTACCCTGCTCGACGCGCTGCTTTGGGGGACGTTGTTCTGTCGTGAGCCTCCCCTGGAGCTCCTTTAATTCGTGTCCTTAGTTCGCACGTGCTAGTCAAGCACCTGCATCAGACGTTGCCTCCGTGGGGGACGTTAGCCTGGACAACCAGTGCCCGCGCGTTGGGGAGCACCACGCTGGGAAGGAGGAAGGTTCAGCACGGAGACCCTGCCGCCGCACAGGCTTGTCAGCAGATGAGGACGTGCGGGGGGCGTCCGCTGCTGACCCCGCCCGAATCCCGAGGCCGCGGGTTTCTCGTGACCTGTTGATGGCCCTGCGCGTGCGGGGCCCCGCGGGCCTGCAGGGTGCCTGTCAAACCGAGATCAAGTCTCGTCTGTTGCCCTCACCCACCAGCCTCCTCCCTCCAACCCTGACTCTCCTTCTCCCCTGATTAGAAGGGGATCAGCCTGTTTGGGTGTCTTCAGGCAAGCGGTTGGAAAGTGATCCCAAGGTCAGTGTAAGCCCCGCAACTGGCAGGAAGGCGGGAGGTGCTGGCCGAGTCGCTCAGCTTTTATCTAAATTCACTCCGGGCCGCTCCTCAGGCCCGTGCCGCGTCCTCCCTCCCGCACCCGGCTCGCATCCTCCTCCCGGGGTTTTTCCCACCTCGGGACCCCTCTGTCACGCCATTCCCAAGGCTGCTCGTCGCCTGGAGGGCAGGCTCTGGGGGGCTATGCTGTGATGCCCTGCTCTGCTTGGATGCGGACGCAGACAGGCTGTGTTTATTCCCCCGCCGGTGTCTGTGCCGTGCGGGGACTGTCGGTGCGGAGACCCAGGCTCCCTAGGATGCGTTTCCTTGGCTCACACCTGTGAGCTGCTGCTCCTTCCGGCGCGATGCTCCTTCCGGCGTGGTGCTCCAGCAGACGCCGGGGCGGCGGGACCCTGCTTGTCCACTCTGCCTCCACGGGGGGCACCTCCAGTGCTGGGCCACCCCCCCGCACCCCCCCGCCAGCCGTGCATCCCCCGAGCCTGAGCTCTTCCCTGCCTCCAGGTGCCCCCAGTTCTGCCTCCCCGCCCCAGGGTTCTGTTTCTCTCAAACGGGCACAAACCGCCTCTGAGCCTGTTTTCCCCGGGAAGGCTATATGCCAGCAGTGTGGACACTCAGGTCTGCCGTGGGGTGTGAACACACGTGCCCATGTGTGTCTGTTAGTGTGTTGTGTGCACAGCTGTGGGTGCACATGTGTGTGTTGTGTTCATGTGTTGTGTGCACATCTGTGAGTGTATGTGTGTGTATTATGTGTACATCTGTGACTACACATGGGTGTGTGTGTGACTGCACATGTGTGTGAGTACATGTGTGTGTTGTGTGCACATGTGTGTTGTGTGCATGCCTGTGAGTGTACAGGTGTGGTGTGCACATGTTGTGTGCACATATGTGACTGCACGTGTGTGTACACATGTGTGGTGGCAAGAGGGAACTGCAGGGAGAAACAACAGCATCTGCTCCATCACGACCTCTGACGTCTGACCTCTGACGTGGCCAGGCCCCACCACCCAGGAGCTCGCTTTCTAGTGAGCAGACCGCCGTCTCCCCTGAGCTGACCGCGCCCCTTCTGGGGTTCTATGAGGAATCCGGATGTTATTTCCTCCTGCCACCAGAGAAAGGGCAGCAAAGGGACTCTTCATAACACCTGCGCTTGCCGTTATGGAAACAAGTCGAGGAAGGTCATGCCGGAGCTTCCAGATTCCCCGCCAGAAAGGAGGGCGAACGGCTGGGGCTGCGGGTGGAGCTGGAGCTGGGAGTCGGGCGGAAGGAGGCCGGGTGGCAGTTGCCCAGAGAATCACCTTGGGAGCTTCCAGAAGCTGAGAGTCCCGACGTCTGCTCCCACCAGTCACTCAGACGCTGGCAGCGAGGGTGGGAGGGTGAGCCTGCCTCCTTCCCGGGCTCACCACCCCCAACGGCCAGTGGAAGCAGAGGGGGGCTTCTGACTGATCAAGGGGCCGAGGGAGGCTAAGGCAAGGGCAGACTCGGGGCGTCAGCTCATGGCGAGAGTGCAGATCTGGTGTGAGGCCAGGAGACTGTGGAGAAACCTTTCAGCTTTAACAGAAAGGGGAGGAGGCCTGGGCAGGGCCAGCTGCGTGGTCTGCGGGGCCTGGTGAGGCACGGAAGCACAGGGCCTCTGGTGTGATCGTTGCTGACGGATCCGAGAGGGCGACGGCAGACTCCGGCCTTCTAACTGCGTGGTCTGGGACCTTCCTCAGCGCCTTCAGGCGTGTCCTTATTGATCTTCTTGGTGGAAACGTAGACGACACTGCCCCAGGTCCCTCGCTTCTCACCTGCAGACCCTTAAAATTAGAAACGAGCAGTGCTGTAGCCACCTACTTCTGCCCACCTTTCAGGGCCACTAGTTCTGCACAGTGAGCAGCGAGCCCGTCAGCCTTCATCCTTGCTGTCTGTTAGGGAGTCTGGGCTGGACTCCTTTTCCGGGCTGCCATCTGTTGCTATGACGCCTTCTATTTTTAAATAAGGAAGAGGCTGACGGCCCTGTGAGAGGCAAGGAGGGAGGGACTTTGCAGGGAACGTTTCCTTGTAATGAAGGCAGAAGATTCCGTTCACTCGGATTTCGTCTCGAACTGGCTTGTTCTCCTTAAATGACTCTTCTCCATTCGTTACATTTCCTTCCCAAAGGCATATTTAGGTGATAGTCATCTTACAAGGGCATCACACATCAGACACACCTCACCTCTCAACTCAAAGCCACAGAACTCTGCCAGGGTCACACCACCCTTCACCTGATCAGTGAGTCCGACTTGCGGCGAAGTCTTCCATCATAGACCCACTTGGGGTAGGCCGAAGGTAATGTAGTTTCAGCTGCGAGCTTGTTTCATATGGAGCCTTCCTGTGTTTGCAGAGCTTTTCCTTAAAACTCTCTCTCTTTTTTTTAAACTAAGAAAACAGCAAACAAAAAACCCAGAAACCATTCCAAAATGAAAATCAAGAAACAAAACAGGTAGGGACGATACCTTTCCCATCTGAAAGCTAAGTGCAAAATAGGCTTCGGACTTTGAATTTCTATTACTTTTTGAATCCTGTCTTGTAAAGATAGAAATTTGCCTATGAAGTCTTGCAAAAGTGCATGAAAGAATATAGTTGAACATGTGAGGAAAATAATTTAAAATTAAAAATTTCCTGCAATCTAATAAGTTACCTTTTTTTTGGAAATGCTTAGTGCCACATGGCATTATGGAACCAATCAAGAATTAGTTTTTAAACCACAAAATGTTGAATACTGTTTGTAGGAGAAATGTTAAAGTTTATGAATCTGACTTCATTTGTGCCTGATTTAACTTTAAAATAAATAAATGCACTTAAATTTCTTTTTTTCAAATTACCTTTAATAGAGAACTTCATCTTACAAAGCAGGCTGAAGGAGGTCTGTTTAAATGTGAAAGATACGGAGGGGCTGGCACTTGGTCTTGTTCAGCTCTTCTAAAGTGTTCATCTATTATTATCTTTACTTGTCTGGTCTCAGCTGTGGTCTTCAGAGGTGCCCCACCGTAGAGGCTGGAGACTCGGGGGCTACCAGCTCAGCCCGGACACCTTCCCAGGGCTGGCTGTCCTCCGCTGGTCAGGGATGGGGCAGGGGAGGCCACGTGCTGCCCGCCACCCCGCCCTCCTGCTGGGCAGGGCGTGGGGACCGCTCCCTCCCGGTGGACGGGAGGAGGCCTGCAGTCTCTGTACAACAAAAGACACTGCTTTTAGGTCTGTGCTTTGTCTTGTAAATCTGCCTGATTTATGACCATTTCCAACATCATTTTTAAGATGTCAACTAAGAATTATTTCGGGGAAAAAAACCTGATGTTTTACATTCTGTTGCCATTAGATCCCATTAGGATTTTGGCATGACAAAGTTTTATTTAAAAGTGTAAGTAGGTATCATGGAGTGTGAGGTCCCGCCTCTCCAGAAGATGGGGAAACTGAACAAAGCTGTGTGTCCCTGTTCAGGTCTCACCCTCCCTGACCTGTCACTGAGGTGGTCTCATGAGCAGAGACGGGACCACTGCTGCATTCTCCTCTCTACTTACAGACATCTGTGTAAAATACTTAACTCAAGTTCGTAAATCTGTAACTTGAGGAAAATATGGGATACAGAAACATATTTCTAAAATGATACTGAACTCTTTCTCATTAAGTTTTGATGCTCTAAAATGTACTATAATCTTATATAGCCTATGTAGTTTATATTAATATTTTATTTATATAAAATATGTTGTATATTATATAATTTTAAATATTATGTAAGATATTATACAATATTAAAAGTTACATCACTGACTCGATAGACATGACTTTGAGCAAACTCTGGGAGATAGTGAAGGACAGGGAAGCCTAGTGTGCTGCAGTCCATGGGGCTGGAAAGAGTTGGGTACAACTTAGTGACTGAACAGCAAAAATAACAAATATATTGTATTTCCAAACACCTTATGACAAAACCTGAACTGTATTTTTGGCCTACCCATATTCTATACATATGCATATATGTGTATTTCATAACCCCAAAGTTCAGTATCCCTTACAGTACAATGGGAAGAAAACATCAAGGCTGTATATTGTCACTCTGCTTATTTAACTTATATGCAGAGTACATCATGAGAAACGCTGGACTGGATGAAGCACAAGCTGAAATCAAGGTTGCCAGGAGAAATATCAATAACCTCGGGTACGTGGACAACATCAGCCTTATGGCAGAAAGCAAAGCAGAACTAAAGAGCCACTTGATGAAGGTGAAAGAGGAGAGTGAAAAAGCTGTCTTAAAACTCAACATTCAAAAAACTAAGCTCATGGCATCCGGTCCCATCACTTCATGGCAAATAGATTGGTAAACAATGGAAACAGTGAGAGACTTTATTTTTGGGGGCTCCAAAATCACTGCAGATGGTGACTGCAACCATGAAATTAAAAGACACTTGCTCCTTGGAAGAAAATCTATGACCAACCTAGACAGCATATTAAAAAGCAGAGACATTACTTTGCCGACAAAGATCCGTCTAGTCAAAGCTGTGGTTTTTCTAGTAGTCATATATGGATGTGAGAGTTGGGCCATGGAGAAGGCTGAGCATCGAAGAATTGATGTTTTTGAACTGTGGTGTTGGAGAAGACTCTTGAGAGTCCCTTGGACTGCAAGGAAATCAAACCAGTCAATTGTAAAGGAGATCAGTCCTGAATATTCTTTGGAAGGACTGACGCTGAAGCTGAAGCTCCAGTCCTTTGGCCACCTGATGCGAAGAGCTGACTCATTGGGAAAGACCCTGATGCTGGGGAAGATTGAAGGTGGGAGGAGAAGCGAACGACAGAGGATGACGGTTGGATGGCATCACCGACTCGATGGACATGAGTTTGAGCAAGCCCTGGGAGTTGGTAATGGACAGCGGGGCCTGGCGTACCGCGGTCCATGGGATCACAAAGAGTCAGACACGACTCAATGACTGAACAGCAAGAAGAGCAGTGAAAGTTTAGGAAAGGTTTCATGCTGCTGACGTCAAAGAAGACAGCACAAAATGTTACCCGACTGACTGCAGGCACAGTTGGAAGCCCCAGCTTGTCCATCGCATGCTTCTCATACTTCTCATAGAGCGCACATATAAGTTTGTGTGCTGTCCAGGGGCTTGCCCGCTGCTGCCTGGGCATGTAGGGCAGAGTCCACAAGAAGTGCTGGGCATTTTACAAAAGGGCTATAATGCTCTTCCCAGGAATTGTCTTTAGACCTCTACTCTTTGGGAAATTTAAGACTTTTTCATCTGAAATTTCTCCTTTAGTGCCTATCTCCCTAAGCTGTTTCTATTTCAAGGTGTGTTTATTATAAGCAGGGCTTCCCTGCTGACTCAGATGGTAAAGAACGCGCCTGCAATGCGGGAGACCTGGGTTTGATCCCTGGTTTGGAAAGATCCCCTGGAGGAGGGCATGACAACCCACTCCAGTATTCTTGCCTGGAGAATCCCCATGGACAGAGGAGCCTGGTGGGCTGCAGTCCACTTTGGTCGCAAAGTGAC